CAAGCAGTTCAAGAGATACAATTTTTATATATGGCATCGTATGATATGTGTATTCACTACTGACTTTGTATATTACAGTTTTTATTGTGATGTACGGTTTCGTAGAAAGGAAATTAAGTACCTCCTTTATCCAATTGATAATCCTTTTTAATAACAAAATGGTAGACTTGGCATATGAATGTAACAGTAGAAAATCTACAATTACTTCTAGAGCATCTATAGGCATGCATCAATCCCGAGTTTTCCGGATTCGATCATTCATATAATTTCAACTTTTGAAGGTAACATGAAAATGACACCTAAAACTTTTGCACAGCTACAGTACCCGACAAAAGTATTCTCCTCTTGGATCTCAGTCCCAATATGAGCTGTAGATCTGAAAACTAGTGTGCACATAGTTCTCAATGAATGCTGATCAATGACACCATCCGCAGCCCGATTGCCTGAAGTATAAGAATGTTACAAAGTATGCGGTTTGTCTCCATTGTGGACTTCATAACTCAGGAATAGAAAGACTTTATGAACTGGAATTGGTTTCATTTTGTAGCTCTACACTTTGGCTATCTGTAGTAAAAGTTTCATTGAAATTCAATGAGTTATTGTCGAACTAGAACCATTTTACTGTACGTATCGATATATGGCAAAGCTGATCAATCCCATTGTGTACTTCATAAATCAGTGAAAGTCTGACAGATCGACTTCAAACTTACAGAAAAGGTTGCCCTATAGACCCTTAGTATTCTCTGAAATTTTCAGCCTTATATCGATTACTAGAGATAAATGGCACTATGTTCAAGTTCTAGATGTTGTCATAGGTCTAGCTACTGGAAGAATCAAGCAATTGACTTCATCTTTTGGATACATAAATAGCATGTAAGGAGGCACAGTTCTACCAAAAAAAGCTACAAAAATCACTAAGTATCATGGAAAACAGGACATCACCTTTTACAGTCAAATTTTTCCCGCAGTCTAACAACCCAGGTCGAACGTTGCGGAGTTCGTAAACGATCGTATACGGGAAAAATACGGTTGTTTACGTCCGTGTTTTGCCGTAATACATGTGATCGTATTACGATCGTATAGCTCCATAACCGTATACGGTTGTATACGACCGTATATGGAGAAAAAACGGAGCAAAACGGAGATCGTATACGGCCTCCGTTTACTGTCTTCGTAAACGACCGTTTTTTGTCCGTATACGATCGTATTGCTCCGTATAGGGCACGGAGATATACGATCGTAATACGGTCACATGTAAATCGTCGTATTTCTCCGTATACGGTCGTTTACGACCGTGCTTGTTCGACCTGGGAAACCTGAGGAAGATAGGGAGTGAGAATGCGGATTCCTAGCCTTTTCACAATTAGATACTAATTTTTACTCATATTCTTACTCTAACGCTTACTCTGATTCATCATCATGATGAAAATTATCAAAAGACCCTTGACAGATTTGAACTAGATAGAGAAATTCATTTTAATTCTGCTGTATAATGTGTTTTTTGATACTGTTAAACAAAACAATAAAGGGTCGTCAGACTGAGAGAAAAATTTGACTGTAAAAGTTGATGTCCTGTTTTCCA